AAGTAGACTGATCGTAAAGGTACGGATACAATCGAGAAAAAAATGAATCCAATATGTGACCAGCTATGTTGCTCCATTGCAATATCCAAGCCCATATATATAAAGCTGAAAGAGAAAAGCTTATGAGCATCGAGTGGGTAAAGGATCCTTGATTAAGGCTAGATAAAATTTGGTCATGTCTCCCTTACATAAATGTTTCTGCCAGAGATGAAAATAAGTGAAAAAATCCCGCAACAAACTGTTGTGAAGACTCTGATAAGTTCGAATATGTATAATGCTTCATCACCTAACAAAGAACATCACGGATTATATGCACACCAACAACTAGTATAGATGTATTGAACGAAAGAACATAGTAAAGAATACGGTCAGCTTTACTCACCATTCCTGTGAACAATATCGACACAATACCAGACAACCCAAAACCTTCTGCAAGCATGTACCTAGTAAAAGATCTCATGCTAAAATCCACCAACGTAAAATGTAGCTAAATAAAAATTATAAAACTTAACGGGAAAAGAAGATTGCTTACGAGAAATATGGAAAAAGAACAAAAATACAGCACTCCAAATTTTGAAGACTGGATAAAGAAACGACCAAATTCAGATTCTCGTCCAAACAAAAATACATTATAATTTAGTAATCAACAAACACTAAGTGCATAGAATTTACTTGTCAATGTCCAAGCCTGCATACTTGAAAAGGTTCTAAGAATTAAGGCTCAACATGATATCAGAAAAGTAGAATGAAAATAAATAATATAGCTACAGGCAATAAAGATAACATTGCTCATAAAAGGATATCAACGCTGAGGTAAATCCAACTCCAACACCTGCAGATCCACAGGCATTCCATGATAAGTACCCTTAAGAACTTCCGTTTATTTATTCAGTAAAGATAACTGTATATGTTAAAAAGAAGTTACAAAACAAGGTCATGCACGAAATTTGAGGCATACATGAAAGTAGTCATTTAAATAATGCTGATGCTTTGATAGTTATATTGGTATAGCAGAAGTCTTCATTAACCTACAACAAGAAAATTGATCTTTCTAGAGGATTTTATGGTTGAGATTAATGAGGAGCCTGTATAGTGAAGGAAGGCATCCTGTTTTGCCTGAAGGAAGGCATCCTGTTTTGCCAGAATTGTAGTCTTGGATGGTTTCCAAATCATTGACTACTTTTTTTTATACACAAGCAACTTTTATACTCGGAGAAAATGAGTGGGTTTCATAAATAATTGATTTGTTTGAGCCAAAGTCCCGCCAAAATGTCCAAGACTGAGGGGCATACACTATGTATGCATTTCGATTAGGGTCGTAAAAGAGAAATTACATCCTGATCCTGAAAAATGCAATAATAGGAAAAAAGTTCTGTAAAACTATTTTTCCATGCTTTTTCTTTCCTCCAAATTATTGGCAAAAAAAAATTCCCAAATCAAAAATGTTATACCGACAGAAGCTTAGTTCCCGTTAGGAATTGTCAATTAACCATTAGATAACAAAGTAACACATGATAACTCTTAACTAACAGTAACAACTCAACTAATTAATAAACCAATAAAGTAATAAGAATCAGTATGGACTGGCAAGCAACAATGAAGTAACAAACAACAAACTATTAAAAGCAGCTACGTACCAACTCTCACAACATCAAATAGGGTTATTTTCATTATCCACGTAGATGCATAACTGTAATGGCCCAAGCCCAGCACTAACAGATATTATCCTCTTTGGCATTTCTCTTTCGAGTTTAGGTTTTTAAAACGCGTCTACTAGGGAGAGGTTTTCACACCCTTATAAATAATGTTTTGTTCTCCTCCCCAACTGACGTGGGATCTCACGATACACCCCCTTCGGAACCCAGCAAAGAATGCTTCATTCTCCTCCCCAACCGATGTGGAATTTCAAAATCCACCCCCCTTCGGGGCCCAGTGTCTTTGCTGGCACACCACCTTGTGTCCACCCCTCTTTGGGGCTCAACCTCCTCGCTGGCACATCACCCAATGCCGAGCTTTCCCTTTCGGGCTTCCTCTCAAGGTTTTTAAAATGTTTTTGCTAAGGAGAGGTTTCCATGCCCTTATTAAGAATGTTTTGTTCTCCTCCCCAACCAACATGGGATCTCACAATAACGATAATAATGTGTTGCTTCTCGTAAGCTCTCTAGAATTGGATAATAAAAATGTGGAAGTGGAAATAAAGTAGCAAAAGATGTTTGTTTAATGAAAAGATAAGAGAAAGATAACCTGCAGACATTGAGCCCACAAAAGTCTCGAGAAATCTAACAATCACAAAGAAGAAGTTTTTTCCATGATAAGCATGGCTCCTAACCAAGGACATTGTTCTGCAAAAGATGAAACTAATTAGAATAAACTCAATAATAATGGAAATACAAGAAACAAATCAACTACTTTACATACCTGTACAAGGAAATTGCCATCTGCCAATTATCCAACACGAGAACCAGAAATATTAAATAGAGTCATTTTCAACCAATATCAATAATTACTTAATGCGAAAAACATACAGCATCATTCAATACAGATTCTCCAAACACCAAAGCGTAAAGGTTCACGTCTGTGCCAAGTTCCTAGAATGATGACTTGACAATAATGAGTCACATAATGAGTAAAAAAATATATCATCTACAAAATTTAACAGCCAGCATATGGTATCAATGAAACTCTAGGAAGATACATGATGAGTTAGTTTAAAGAATAAGGGGCAGTTTGCTGTATAATCTCCCGAAGAAAATCACAATAGCTTAAGTCACAAATTAAGCTCCTGAACCACTAGGTTTTGTCTTAATCCTTCAATTTGGAAAGGTATCAGTTGCATCCCTGAACTTTAAGTTATGAATTTAAGAGGTCTCTATTGTCAGCACTTTTAACTATTTCATAATGTACTTTTTTACAAATGGATCATGTGAACACCTGAAAAATGGACAGGACAGTGACAGGATCTGTTGCCGAAATAAGAGCACCAAACATAAGACATTCGACAAACGGAAGCCGATACATGAGAAACATTAATCCACCGAGGTAACTGCAACGAAAAGAGCAACCACTTTATGGTGTCATAAATTAAAAGGTACATGAAACGAAGGATTTGCAATTAAAAGGGAAGAAGAAAAGCTTTACACAAGACCACCCGTAACAACGGAGGCTATAAAGGTTCCCAGGATTGCAAACGTCACAATTGCCCCAAAGTTTGAGAAGAAAGGTTTCTACAAAAGCAGCAACGTTAAGCAACACTATTCTCAACCAAAACATCACAATTAAGGGGAAATATGAAAGCATTGATAGGAGATTTTGCACTTACAGGTGAGAGACTAAATCCTGATTGAGTACGCAAGAGTGTTAAGGAAACAGAACGGGAGAAAAAAGAAGATCGGCTTTGCAATAAATTACGACAACGAAGGATATAATATGATCGGAGGCAAAAGGAAAAGGAAGAAAAATTCCTCGTGAAAGTTGAACCACGCCCTGATGTTAGTTTGAGTATTCGAAATGTTGGCAAGGCCGCCGACGATTAAACCTGAGAGACAATTGAACAAAGGAAAGCGAGAAAATGGAGACACGACGAAGAAAAACAAACACGAATACAGGAAGAACATAAAAAAAGGCAATGGCAAGTTGTGAAGTGAGTCGTAACTTAACGAAGAAGATACCGATGAGAAGAGAAGCACTGGCTTCGGGAAGAAAATAGAGCCTATGGCGACGAAGGACATGGCCGAGAACGAAAGAGAGAACAAGCATCATGATCTGAAGGAGGATGCCAACTCCGGCAGCTTGTTGATCCTTAACCGGACTGCCTTTGGGCTCTGCCGGAGAGATGACCATAATTTGGGCTTCGTCCTCCATGCCCATAATGGATCGTCTTCTGCTGCTCAAGTCTGTGGCCGTTTCGGAATTTGATATGTTGATGAAGATGACGCCAATAACAGGATTCGGAAACTTGCTTCTCCAGAATCTATACTTATTTATATGATTCAAGAAAGAACATAATTTCTGTTTTTTTCTTTTTTCTTTTTTTTTGTCTGTAATTCTAACTATCGTTTTAAATTATAAATTTCTATTAATAGTAAAAATGAAATCTGATCATAATCAAAATCAATCTTTATAAAACAAAATTCATTCTTTTACACTTTCTACCTAATAATTTAAAATACTTACCGATTTTAATATTTTTTAACCTAAATAAATTATTTCATACACAAAAATAGCAAGAAGAAAACAAGGGAAAAAAATAATAATAAATTAAGTTAAATTCAATCGGTGTATTTCTTCCCAAAAAATCTCAAACCAATGGACTGAGTATTATTTGATTATAAACTCATGATCATTCCCTAAATTACGGGACGTGGGACTTTCATCATCAACACCTCTTCTCGAACAAAGTATGTCTCCCCTTAATTGAGCCTCGACTCCTTTTTCTTTTAGAGTTCTTTGTTCGACATTTGAGAATTTACCAATCTATTCGCACAAACTATTTTTGTTACAAAAGGGAGAAAATACAGTCCCTTGTAATTGAGCAGGACCTACAATTTTTTTTTGTTTCTATTAATTGAATCCAATTATAATTAATACATCGGCAAACATGAATATAATGTAGTGATTAAACGATGGTATTATTGGCCACAAATCTTCACTCCAATGGTGTTGAATTAAAAATAAAATTGTAATTTAATTATTTTTTTTTATTATTATTCTAACATTGATAAATATATAATATTTTAAGGGTTTATAAACTAAAAAGATATAAATTTATGACTCTTGCACCATTTTATTATCCATTTTGATGACATTCTTAAGTCCCCTTCACAAAAGAATTATATATATAAACTCTTAAGTTATGAGCATATTGCTCTGAATAAATTGAGGGAGCTTACCAATCTTACTTTCTAAAAATTCTGTTAAACCTTTAAACGACACGACGAACGAGTCCATTCCTCATAGTCATCCAAAAATGCCAAACAAGTCGGAGAATAAAACACAGTTAATTTCTTACTAGTAAAATTTAATGCACATATTACATTGCCCTTTGGAGAATCCTTGCCTAGCTCACTAAATCTCGAGGAGACACAACACACTCTCAATCATTTACAAATTGAACCACATCTGGGATCCCAGGTACCCACAACAATACAAATGATGCAAAGCTACTAACTGATCATATGGTGATTACTTAATAGGATCTAACTTTTTGGAAGGAACAAACGTCATCTCTACAGAAAGAATCGACCTATAAAAATCAAATTTACAAATGAAGGGGGAAACGAATGCCACCTACGAAACCGTATGAGTGTTGCTACCAAGAGAGAGCTTTGGTGTGTACCTGTTATGGATTAATGTTGCATTGTCGAAGGTACTCGTGGTCAAAATCGACATACTTCATCCAATAGTTACGGTACCGTGGTATGGCTATCTCCAGCCAGGGTTTCATGTTTCCATTGTAATGTATGACAGCAGCTCGTTCGATTTCCTTCTGGTTGACGTCAGGGTTGTATCCAAGGCCTAGAACATGCCAGGATCGGTCGAGAGGATGTGTGCGCTTCCAAAATGTTATGAGACCTGGTGGCAAGGTACCCAGCTTCCACAACTGTCTGTCATGATTCTGATGCAATAGAAATTGAATTTTAGACAGAATCCATGTCTAGTTTGATTATTGCAGAATAAAGGCCAGGGGAATACCATAATTTCAAGAACAGATAAGAGAATCACTAATTCTACACGGACAGTAAGGATTCAATGGTTTCATGTCATACGAAATATTTCTCTCGACTGGTTTCAGTTTCTTTCTCTTCTAATTCTTGGAACTCTATTGAGGATATCGTTATTAGGAATCATAAATATCCACAATGATATGATATTGTCCACCACTTTGAACATTAACTCTCGTGGCTTTACTTTTGGTTTTCCCAAAAGGCTACATACCAATGGAGATGTATTTCTTATTTATACTCATGATCATTCCCTTAATTAGCCAATGAGGGACTCCCTTCCAACAACCCTCCCCTCGAACAAAGTTTACTATAGAACCTCCTCTGAGGCCTATGGAGCCTTTGAACAGCCTCCCCTTAATCGAGGCTCAACTCCTTCTCAAGAGCCCTCGAACAAAGTACATCTTTTGTTCGACATTTGAGTCACTTTTGACTACACCTTCGAGGCTCACAACTTCTTTGTTCAACATTTGAGGATTCCAATGACATGGCCAAGTTAAGGGCACGACTCTGATACCATGTAAGAAACCACGAGTCGTCATAATGGTATGATATTGTTCACTTTGAGCATAAGCTCTCATGGCTTTGCTTTGGACTTCTCCAAAAGACTTCATACCAATGGAGATATATTCGTTACTTATAAACCCATGATTATTCCCTAAATTAGCCAATGTGGAACTCCTACCCAAAAATCCTCAGTGGAACTCCTACCCAACAATCCTCAACAATCGCCACAGTCAGATAATCACTAAAACGTATAACTTCCCAAGTAGAATCTGATTCACACAATGTGGCCACTGCCACGATTAGAGAATTAAACTACATGGAATTTGGTTAAATTATCCCCAAATGAACAAACCAGGATAGTGCAAAACAATATCAACACTCGAGGCAAAAAATAAAAATTTAAGCAGACCAATGGGACTGGATTTATGTAAGAAAAAAGTTTAAGATAAGATGAGTGATATATGAAAACTTACAAGGTTCTGCCACGTGTGGTATACATCAGTGATGCTCTGCCTTTTCCATTCCTCCAAATCAAATACATTCATTCCATATGCCCAACCACAAGCACGAGGATCAAAATTCTTTGATATAAGCTCATTTGAGAAATTAAGATACTTATCGAAACGATGAAAACTTTCTCCACAAGTCTCCACAGCCCCATTTACATTCCCCTTTAGATCAAGAGACCAGAGGCCAGTAAGATCTTTCTGCACAACTATGTCATCATCCAAAAACAGCACCTTCTTCAGTTTCGGGAATATCTCTGGCAAGTAAAACCGGAGATGATTCAAGATAGATAAATACTTTGGGTTCCGGAACTTCATATTTGAATCAGAATGGGCTCTATGAGCTTTGAAGTAATAATTTATTGCTGATGGAGTACCCAACTGCTTGAGAACTGGACTGTAACTTGAATTTAACCATGAGAATTCCTCAATACTCCGAACCTCAATAGTCGCTTTTCCAGGCAAGTTAACCAGGAACCACATTCTCATTGCAGCATAATTGAGCTGGTCGGTAACAATGTGCAAAACATGTTTCGATGCATCCTACCAAAGTTCAATGAGATATAATAAGTGGTGATGTTGTAGCAAAGATACATTCAGAAACACGTCACACTTCTTCACATTCCCTTCTTTTTCGTTCAAGCTTAGAACTATTATATGTATGCATAGGATAATAGATGTACCTTTGCATGAGCAATAGTCGAATTTACAACAGCTGCTGCTGCCAATACATTATCTGAGAATAATGCATAATGATACAGGCTGGAGTCTTCTAGTTTTTCTTGATTGGGAAACGGTCGCTGTGAATAATTCAAGCTATAGTATTCTGTAGTTAGGCGTAAGGGAAGACAATGAAGGCCCTTGGGAAGTGTTTTTGCTGTTAACTGTGACAAGAACAATGCTTGTTTTTTGTGTACTCGCAGCTGCTCCTCTGTTGACTGGAGCATAGCCCGAACCTTTTTGACCATCGAAGCACAGTCATCCTGAATCTGCTTTCCTCTGTTCAATATTCCATCCATTGCCCTTAACTTCTCTAGGGCACTGCAATTATCAAGATATGTAATTAATAATCAAATATTGAAAGCTATGGCTATGAACCAAGTCTTTAACTATAACAAATAAGAATGTAGAAAGGAATGAGATGAAATATAAAAATGCACTGCAAGATGTCACATAGTAGCATGCTCCAGAGAAATACACTTACTTCCTGGGCAGCTGCGAGTCTTTGTTTGCACGTCCTAAAGTACGTTGGACTTCTTTCATCCGTTGGCGTAGTTGTCTAATAAAATTAGCATTATTCCTTGTGGCTGAAAGGGAAAGATACAGTTTTGCCTGGACAAGTTGATCCTTGAGATACTGAACCTTTGCATTTGGTGCAACAGCTTCATCATTGCCTTTTTCTGATTTAGATGATTCTCTAGACTTGCGGTCAGTGGATTGGATGGATTGTTGTTCACGCTTTCTTACCTGGAAATCAAACCACAGAGGGGAAGGAACAGGGTAAAAAAGAAGATAATTGAGATGTACATGCAAACATTTAACTTGAAAATATTTCCTTCTGGAAAGAAAATCATACATCAATTTAGCAGTTGATCGCTGAACTCAGATATCATAAAGAACTGCAACCGAGAATGAATAACTATCGAAGTTACTCGGTAAAAAAAATCCATAACCTTACACTATCACGATTCCTTAAGCTAGTAAACTGATTAATTAGCATGCTTGCAACAGGACAGCTTAATTTAAATTTTGATTCCATAAATAGCTAACTTGATCCAGCAAAGATTAGATTAATATATTTTTTTCTTTAATCACAAATGGTTAAAGCTTTCGAGTATTATGTAACTATTAATTGTTATCTATCCTACTTTTGGTCTAGGACAAGGGATACTGAAGTCTGCATGATAGCACTCCAAGATAAATGTAACTTAAGAAAATCCAAGACCTTTCATCTAGATTAGTTATCTTCCACTATCTAGCTGAAGTACTAATTTGATCAATTACAACAAAACAGTTCAAGCAGAGGAATCCGCTCTCCTGCACTAATCAATCATAACATAAAAGGCACGATGAAAGGAAGCAATGTTCTATATTCCAAAGCCATCAACGTTATTTAAGAGAAATGAAACACTTTCACCAAATTTTAAAAGGTTTTGGAGGAATTTTCCATTAACCAAGTCAAATTGTAGATGGAAAAAGAAAAGAAAAGAAAAAATAATCGAAGTTGTAGAGTTTTCTACCTTCACACGCTTCGTGTCGAATTGTACCAAACTGCCCTTGCGGAGATTCTTCTGCGGATGTTGGTCGGTGATCTGCCTGAGGGGATTCTCTCTAATCGAACTGACGTTCTCATTCGTGGTGGATAGTGCACGAGTAGATTTATGCTCCCGCGATTCAGGTAATTGCAAATCTGTAACGATAAGATTTGAAAATTTATAAAGGCGCAAGGGACAACATAATAAAATGTTCGATTCAAAGAAAAAATTATTTAAAAAATCACCTTGATTTGCGCCTTGAACATCGGTTGAATTATGCTCGGTAGCAGACGCATCCGGTTCTGGATGAGCTGTATTGTTAGAGTACACAGTTCCGACGGGTTCTTTAAGAGTCCTAGAGGATTCCTGATACAAGAAATAAGACCGAATAAGCAAAGATCTACAAGTTCAAAGCAGAAATAAGCCGAGCAGGAAATCACAAAGAGGAGAACTAGAAAGCAACAACACGAAAATACTTACAAGAGGAAGTATATTCAAATGTTCAGAATGACTGCTCAGAGTCTGCAAAGAAAAGTAACAATGCACATATTGATTCAGGTAATTCAACAAATTAAAGAGAAAATCACATAATTCCACTTACAAAGCTTGAGAAATCTTCCAGAAATTCACCTCTCGCTAAGAAAGAAGAACAAGAAAAACAAAAATCAACAACGAAATATTGAAGAACACCAAACAAAGTTCAATCGAGCATAGAACTTACAGGAGGAGAAATTAAAGGATCCGAGACGATGAGTGTAAAGCACAATCGGAGCAATGACAGTGACAAAAAGCAAAAACAGCACCAAATTCCTCACCATCATTGTTGCTCCCTCTATCAGTCAGATTTGAAAAGAGAAATGAGAGGAAGAAGAAGACAATGGCAGTAGAAATCGAAACGACGCGATTGCAATTGCGATTGAGGTCCTTATCGATGTTCATCAACCATAGCCACACCAATTTGATTATTGAGAAACTTTCCTTTCACCTTCAGAACCCAGAATTTCATTCGGAAGAAAAAATGCGGCACACTGAGAGAGGGAGAGAGACCGATGTAACTTTTATTCCATTTTCCATTTTCTTCACTAAATAAAAACACCATAAATTAGAAATTAAAGATATTAAGACAAAGATAGGAGTACAAAGACAATGACCTAAAGAACAACTTAATTATTCATGTTGGTGGATGAAAGTCACAGTAAAATGCTTCACTCCTCAAGCTTAAAACTTTTCCTTCTTTCACTCGGTCTTCGTCTTCGCTCCTTAACCAGTTTTGAAGGGACATATGGAAGGACGAGGCATCTATGATGCGGAGATCCAGTTGTACTTGCTGCCTATCCACTTGGCGAGGCAGAGGCTATGTGCAAGAGTGGAAGGTATTACTTGCGCCTTTTGCTGCTCTTCTTAGCCTTAGCATGGCCCGTATCGACTAAGTGAACGAGTTGGAGATAAGCGAACTCGAACCGCTGACATCTAAACCACAGCCTCTCAGGCCCGAGCGAAAGCAGCTAATTCATTGACTCTCCTCCGGTAAAGTGAAGAATTTCATGAAAGAATAAATAGTAGGGACAGACGAGAGATTGAGTTTTGTCTCATTCATAAGGAGTTGAGTCTGGAAAAGCAGCTAATTCATTTCTTCTTGAGGATCGTTGTTTATAATAAAAAAAATAACATCTTCATTGTTATGAGAGCTTATGTTCAAAGTGGACAATATCATACAATTGTGGAGAGTCGTGTTCATCTAACATTGTATCATAGTCATGCCCTAAATTTAGTCATGTCAATAGAATCCTCAAATGTCGAACAAAGAACTCCCAAAGAGAAGAGTCAGCCTCGATAAAGGAGAGGTGTTGGATGATGAAAGTTTCATATTGGCTAATTTAAGAAATGATCATGGACTAATATAATATATATATGTTTTTTTAATAGTTAAAAAAAAAAACAAAAAAACAACTCAATCCACTCCCAAAATAAAGAATTAGGTTGAGTTGAACTCTTTTCTGGTTATTTCCGGTCCTCAACTTGGACCAAAAGATTTGCTCAACTCAAAGCATATGCACTCCTAAAAGTCGCATTTTCTAAATTTGACGGGTTAAATCCTTTAATCTTAATTTTAGACGGTATTATTTGATATAAAATTAAAGTTTAGAAAATAAATAAATGTAAGTTTATAATATTACTCGAATTTCAACTCAACAAATAAAAATTTACTCTAAAAGAAATAAATAAATTGACAAAAAAAAAACTTTATTATTATTTATTTTATTTTCTTCTCTAGATTTTTAAATATTTGATTTAATTTTTAAATTTTTAAATTTTAAATATTGTATTATTTTCAAGTTTTTATTAAATTAATGAAAAATGCAATAAATTAATAATTCTAATATAAACCAAACTCAATTCATTAAGCATATGGACAAGAAGTCAAATATTCCACATGCCTTATTGAGAACAAACATCATCAATAATAATATTAATAAATTTTTTTTAATTAATCATAAATTAAAACTTAATATTTGAATGTGCAAATATTAAATTAAATTAGGGTTTATATTAAGAGCTAGAAATGTGTTTTTATTTATTTGTTTAATTTATAGTGTTTGGTAACAAACATCACTTTGAGATAATTATATTAGTTTTATATCATTTTTAATCGATGGATTATTTGGAATAAAGCTAGACAATACAGAAGGATCGAGTCATGAGGCAAAGAAGAAAAGAGGATTTGAGTGAAGCCCAAATTACAACTCCTCGACCTGAGCCTATCATGTGATCGATCTTTTAAAAGGGCACACGTCATGCATGTCCTCAGCTCATGACATCTTGGTTCAATCGAGTCTAGTTCATATTTAACCTAATTAATATGAAAAACATAGGACATAGTCTTCCTTAATAAACAAATCTTATTCTTATTGTCTCATGAAGATCAAGTGTCTTACTGTAAATGTTTGCTGAATCCACCACCACACCTAAATAGTGGTGAAATTTCTCTTATCTATAACCATTTATAGAATACAAAAATATGGTAAATTACAAATAATATGAAAATAACAGTAAAGGAAAGAATAATAAATGAATACAATATATTTGCCTTTAATAAAAGGGAAAATATGGTAAGCCGTAATGTAAGGCAAATATCAAATATTTGCTTTATAATGAACGGTCAACTATCCTTAACACCCCTCCCCCAGCAAGCTGAACGTTGAATTTGAACGAACGTGAAGCTTGGATCTGAAAAATCCAAAGAGAGGTCGAGAAATACTTTTTGTGAAAATGTCAGCAACTTGGAGATGAGAGGGTACATATTGTGTGCAAAGTTTGCCAGCGATAACAAGCTCTCGAAGAAAATGATAATTTAGTTCAACATGTTTGGCCCGCTTGTGAGAAACGGGATTAGAGCTAAAAAAAAAATATCACTTTTGTTGTCACATAAGAGTAGAGACTGCTATGAAATAGGGACCTTGAGGTCATGCAAAAGATGTGTAACCCAAAGAAGTTCAGCAGCAGTTCTGGCAAGAGCATGATACTCAGATTCACAACTGGAGCGTGAGACAGTAGGTTGCTTTTTGGCACTCCAAGAAACGAGATTGTTACCAAGATAAATAGAATAGTCGGATGTAGAACGACGGGTATCAGGACAACTAGCCTAGTCATCATCTGAATAAGTGATTAGCGTACTAGGAACAGTGGATGGACGAAAGATAAGACCAAAGTGGAGTGTTTCTTTGACATAGCGAAGAATACGTTTGACAACAAGAAAGTGATCTGCAGTAGGGGCATGCAAGAATTGACAGCATAGGCAATATCTGGATGCATAATAGTCAAGTATTGAAGGGCGCCAACAAGAGATCTATAGAGAGTAGGATAAGAGAAAGGAGAACCATTAGCAGTCGGGTGTTGAGAAACAACCATGGGAGTGTGGACTGGATTGCTATCGAGCAATTGAGCACGAGTAAGAATATCTCGAGCATATTTTAACTGACTAATAAAGAGACCATCAGGAGTGGGTGAGACTTCAAGACCAAGAAAGTAACTGAGAGAACCCAAATCTTTGGTAGCAAACTCAGAATGAAGCTTGCGAGTAAAGCTGGCAATAAGAGATGAGTTGTTGCCGGTAGCAATAATGTCATCAACATAAAGAAGCAAATAGATAAGGTTAGATTGCTGATGAAAGACAAAAAGGGACGTGTCAGCGCGACTGCAAGAAAACCTAAATGTGAGAAGAAATGAGCTAAAAGGCTGAAACCAGGCACAAGGAGCTTGCTTTAAGCCATAGAGGGCTTTCTTTAAGCCATAGAGGGCTTTTTTTAATAGAGAAACATGAGTGGGAAATCGAGGATCAGTATACCCAGGAGGTTGTTCCATATGAACACGTTCAATAAGAGTTCCATTAAGAAAAGCATTCTTGCATCGAAGAGGTCATTTATTTGTGACTGCAATAGAGAGCACAACACGGACAGTAGTAGCTTTGACAACCGGACTAAAAGTGTCAGTGTAGTCAAGACTAGGAACCTGAGTATAACCTTTGGCAACAAGACGAGCCTTGAAACGCTCGACGGATCCATCAGGCAAATATTTAATACGAAACACTCATTTAGAGCCCACGATGTTGGTGTTGGCAGGGCGAGGAACCAAAGTCCAAGTATCATTTTGTTGTAACTCTCGAATTTCTTCATCCATGGCAGCCACCCAAGCAGGATTCTTAGTCGCAGATTTGAATCTTTTTGGCTCAGTGGATGCAAAAAGAGCAGAAAGAAGTCCAGATGAGCCCAAAATACCAAGATTTGCTGGATGATGAGTCTTGAATATACCAGCTTTGGCTCGTGTAATCATAGGATGAGTGCCCAAAGAAGAGGAATCAACAATAGGTTCAATAGAAGTCGAATTAGAAGTCGAGGGTGGCAAAGTGGAACCTGCAAGAGAAGTATCTGTTGAGTTTTATGTCCTAAAACTCATAGTTTGTAAACAAAAACATATTTTATTTTCAATAAAGTTATTATTGTTGTTTATTAAGTAAAAATTGTTATTTAATAAAGTGAACTTTACGATCATTAATCTAAATTCAATAAACTAAGAACACTCTAGCTATAGTATGATTACTTGAACTATATGTAGAAACATAAGAGTTGATCAAGTTCAAGTATATAGTCAAAATGATCTATAGTATAAGGATAAAACTGAGTACCTTATTTTGGGAACACTATGGATGCGACCCACTTTTGTATATGATATAAACAATGGGGGCGTCCTATGCAATGAGTATTGCATAAGATTGGACCATGAAGAAAATTACTCTCACTTTATAATGTCGTTTATTGTTGAGATTGATTTTCTTTTCATTCGATGACCTAGGTAACTTGATCTTAATCCTAAGCTAACCATGAACTCCTGTTTATTCGGAATTATCCTTAGATTTGCATGGGTGAGAGTGGCTCAAGTTCGCCGACTCAATAGGCTTTCCATTTCAGGGGTAAGACTGGGTAAATGGCTGAGGACGTGGGGTGCAAGATGAAATTCACTCCTACCCACTTTTAGGGATAGAAGAGAGGTAGTTCCCTTAAGTACTGACTTCAGGTCTTGAACAAGGGGCCCCACCCTCTCATTGGCCTGAGAGGGATCCGGTTTACTGGTTGGACCACAAACCAATTGTTCATTAGAGAATCAGTGAGACATAAGAAACAAGAAGTAACTTCAGGGGTAAAACAGTAAATTGACCCAACTCTAGTTACGAACAACCTGTGAAGGATCGACTTATTAATCATGGTTATATCAAATGAACAGAAATATATCTATAGTGAGGGGAGTGCAACTACTAGGCTATAGTGGAATGTCCTAGTAGTTAACGAATGTTGGTTAACAAGGTTAATGAGTTTAACCGGTTAATCTTGGATCGTTGGAGCCCATGATCTATAGGTCCATTAGATCCCTCTGCTAGTTCATATCGGACTAAACCATAGAACAGTGTGACGAGTGAATTCGAAGTGTTTGAATTCAAATTAGGGAGAATGCGCTACATATATACGATATATTTAACCGCATTTTTCTTTTATTTACGAATTAAACAAAAAG